GTTAACCATGGCAAGTTGGCCATTTGCGAATGAGCTGAACTGGGGATATGAGCGTTTGCTAAACCGAAGAGGGTGGGCACCCCACCAGAACGCAGCCAGAGGATTGATCCCACGTTTAGCTGTGCGTTCCTGAAGTAGAATTAAGAGTTGGTGGGTGGCTTCTTTCGCAGATCTTCAACTTCTCCTCAGCAGCAGAGTGGGTGATCAAATAAATGCCGCCAGGAAGGTGCAGTCATTGCCAAAAACGTTGGTTGAACCCTTGCCTTTACGGGAGGTTGTCTTGCACTGAATGGAGGACCCGTAAATGACTGCCTAGCTCTCAGATCCATCTGATCTGCAGTCCCTTGGTCATTACAGCTAATCTTCCACTTGCAACCATTCAAATAACGGCCATTCCAAGTTACAACAGCACTGAAAAAGTGACTTAAGGCTGCTTTACAACCCAGGGTCACCTGATCAAAATTCAGATGCTTGGCAACTGGCATGTATTTATGTGTCCTTGGGATCATGGGATCACCGTATGCAATCTTCTGACAGGAAGCCAGAATCCAGAAAAGCCAGATTCTCTTTAAAAAAAACCATGTTACTAACTTAACAAATCACTAAGTGATTCACTTAATAACGGTGGCAGGAAAGACCGTAAAATGGAGGAAAATTCATTTAACCACTGTTTCATTTAGCAATGGAAATTTGGCGCTCCGTTGTGGTTGTGGGTCAAGGATTGCGTGTAAATTACTTAGCAGAGTCGCTACCTGGCAGACAGCATATTTCTCAGAGATTTATGTTTATACACACACCCACACTTGGGTTTCCAGATATTGTGCAGTTTGCTTTGTATCGAACCAATAATGTTCGGTTGGGGGTTTTGTGATGTGTTGTGTTTGCACCGTGCAGGGAGCTAAGCCTTGTTGAGAGAGAACGCACACAACATTCAGTCACTTTCGGCAGGGCGATGAGGTCATTTAATTCTAGGCATATTTACACAATTCCACAGAATAAATATTTCACCACAGGTTTAATTATTATTATTATTATTATTATTTTGCTGCAAAATGCATTTGTTGGGCTTTTTCTGGAGATGGGGCAATGAGATTTATTTCCACTTTTAAAATGAGGAATAAGTTTTTTGGGGGAGAGCATTTTCTTAGCTCCCCCCCACTCCCCCGCTGCTAAGCAATTCTTGGAAGGAACGGTTTCCATGCCAGAAAAACAACCCGTGGAAAAGCCACATCTGACACAGGAATTGCGGCTCTAATTAGGGAATTGGTTGAGCCAGCGAGCACCCAGCTTTGTTGTGACAAAGACAAAAGAAAGAAATGCTGGGCTATTGGGCTATCTAAGCCCTATTCTGGCTCAGGTTTCCTGTGGCGCTGCAAGACTGCAGCCTGAGCTTGAGAAAATATAAACAAAGCAGAGAGGCAGGACACTGACCAAGCGATCACATTTCAAATAAACCGATTTCTCAACTGTTCTGGAAGCAGCGTTCAGGAGAACTGAAATCTGCAGCTCCCCTAAAGTTCCTATTCCCTCAGAAATAGATTCAATGTTTTTGGGATCTGGACTGGACTTCCTTGTTTTTTCTTTTTCTTTTGAAGATGTTTCGCTTCTCATCCAAGAAGCTTCTTCAGCTCTGACAGGATAGTGTTGTTGTTTTTTCTCCAGGATCCTAACATCCCCCACTCTCCTGTCAGAGCTGAAGAAGCTTCTTGGATGAGAAGTGAAACAACTTCGAAAGAAAAAAAAACTTCAAAAGAAAAAGTCCAGTTGCCTTGTGAAAAAGCACTCTTGGGTATAACCATGACCTGGATGGCTGAGAATCTATACAGATTTTTACAGAATTTGGGATAAACACTCTCTGAATTCCAATATTTGAGGGGCTGCCACAGAGAGGAAGGGGTCAAGCTATTCTCCAAAGCACCAGAAAGCCAGACAAGGAATAATGGATGAAAACTGAATAAGGAGAGATTTAACCTAGAAATAAGGAGGAACTTTCTGACAGTGAGTACAATCAACCAATGGAACAGAAGTTGCCCTCGGAAGTTGTGGAAGCGCCATCACTTGAGACTTTCAAGAAGAGATTGGACTACCATCTGTCAGAAATGGTGTAGGATCTCCTGCTTGGGCAGGGGGTTGGACTAGATGACCTATAAGGTCCCTTCCAACTCTGATTATCTGTTATCTGAATGGTGAGAAGTACCTTGGATCCTAGTGGATGGTCATTTAAACATGAGCCAGCAATGTGCAAGAGCCGCCAAAAAAGCTAATACAATCCTTGGTTGTATAAACAGAGGCACAGAATCAAAATCACATGACATATTTGGACCACTTTATAAAGCCTTAGTAAGGCCACACCTGGAAGACTGCACCCAGTTTTGGTCACATCATCACAAAAAAAGATGTTGAGACTTTTGGGCGGGAAAAATGCAAAGAAGAGCAACAAAGATGGTTAAGGTCCCTTCCAGCGCTATTCTGTTTGATTCAGAATCTTCCTAGATACTTCTGTCTCCCAAAAGCTGTGTAGCACCTGAACTGCCAAACTCCCTGTGCACTCTCACCCATCCCTGCCCAAACGTGGGGAGATATTTCAGCCTGACAAGGGAGACAATTTTGCCGTTTTAGAGACAAACCTACTTCTTTTGGTACTAAGGGTTTGTGCCCTCCTGAGGTGTAAGAATTAAATATCCACAACGTCTCAGGTTTTCGGCTGACAAAGCCTTGAAAGGATCCCATTGAAGTGAATCCCACTGAAATGGAGATTCCCAGAGGAGACCACAATGTCACAAGAATCTTTGCATACAAGAGTCAACCTCTCTGGGTCTTGTGGAAGCCAGAAGGTGTGTCAACAAGGCAGGGATTAAAACTCCCGCCATATTTCCTCACACGGAGCAGCGTTTGAAAGTGTTCAAAAGTTGCCTCTGCAGCCTGACAAAATAATAGAATAGAATAATAGAAAGCTGACTTCTGGCCAGCTGAAACTGAAATTTAGGTAACCCTACCATAACAGGTGGCCATAACTGACCCCCAAAATTTCTGTTCTTAAGTGAAACATTTAACAGAATCACAGAGTTGGAAGGGACCTTGGAGGTCTTCTAGCCCAACCCCCTGCCTGGCAGGAAACCCTACACCACTTCAGACAAATGGATATCCAACATCTTTTTAAAAATTTCCAGTGTTGGAGCATTCACAACTTCTGGAAATTTCTCCTTAGTTCTAAGTTGCTTCTCTAACATTTTTCATGGCTGAGATTTAAATATATAGAATCTTGGAAATGACTGTTTCATTTTGAACTAGTCACACCTGGCTCAGTGCGTAGAGTCAACGATCAATGTTGAACCTAGACTAATTTTGACCAATTTTGGACTAGGAGACCTCCAAGGTCCCTGAGATTTAAATACATAGGATTTTGGAAATGACCTCTTTCCCCTTCATTTTAAACCAGTCACACCTGTCTCGGTGCACAGGATCAATGACTGATTTTGTACCTCGAAGACTAATTAATGCTGGACCCATTGCTATGTTAAATATTGCAGAATTAATATTAATGTAATGAAGGATGTTGTAATTCTGATTATTGTTTAACAAAGATATTTGTACCGAGACAACACAATGTTCAAAACTGAAGATGAAATGACTACATTAAAAATTACATATACATATACATACACACACACACACATATATGAATGACTAATTTTGACCAATTTTGCACTAGAAGACCTCCACAACTCTGTTAGTCTGTTATTCGATACTTTCAAGTATCATTTTTATAAGGAGATTAACATATATCCCTCCCAAGAGAGCTGCTGGGAGCTGGGCAACATATATTATTATTATTATTAGAAGGGTACACCTGGCTACTTAAAATACATTGCAACCATCCCATCCCAACTTCAGGCTATCTGCATGTCTGAAGGCAACCCTGGCCTTCCTGAGCCAAGGACTTCAGGAGGCTTCCCAGGTGGGCATCTAGCCAGCCTATCTTCTAAACCAAGGGGTCTTCAAACTTGGCAAGTTTAAGACTTCCACTCCCAGAATTCCTGAGCTAACAGGACTGGAGGAGGAATTCTGGGAGTGGAAGTCCACAAGTCTTAAAGCTGTCAAGTGTGAAGACCCCTGCTCTAAAGAAAGTCCCTTGGCTCCCCCAGCCTAACTTACCTGCTCTGTTCGGCCGAGTTTTGCCTCAGGAGGGGCGACCGGACGCTTTGAGATCGTCCATTCTGGAAAGTGATCCTCTTCTTGGAGGCGGAGGGCGGGTGGCTGAAAGTATGGGCGCGTCTTCTGAACTGGGGAGAGTCGGAGTCCTCTTCGGGAAACGGGTGTCTGGCCAAGGCGACAGGAGACGCCGGAGGTGTGGAGGGTGGGGATTCCCCAGAGGAGCAGTCCTAGAAGCCCACAGACAAGAATGAGGTGCTTCCCTTGCCACCCACACCGTCTACGCACCTCCCACACAAAACATGAGAGGCGGCTCTCCTCACACAGGCGTTTCTTGAAGCTTAAGAAGAAAACACGCAAACCACTTTGCTCGCGGGAGGGAGAACTCTGCCCACATTCGACATAGCCCAGGGTGTCCAAACGTTTACTAGAGGACCATCTGGGGCGAGGAGAGGAAGAAGAAGAGGAAGCGAGCCAGAAGCCCACCTCCTCACCAAAGCTGGCCCCTCGGCCTGGTTCCTGGATCTGGGGCCCGAGAGGATTTCCCTGTCTTGTCCACACTGCACTCTGGTAAGAGCTCCCCTTCGGATAACCTGGCAGGATCATTGAAAACCACACACAAACAGCCCTGGATTTATATCCTGGGGAAGGGGAGGAGAATGGGAAATCCCTATTGTAGGAGTAACGGAGGAGAAAGCGTTTCCACAGGAAATAAGCGGAAAGGGTACCATTCACACCCTGCTTAGCACAAGATCGTCCCCCTCAGACGCTTTCCATGCTTATGCCGACAGGAGAAAGCCTGGAGTTTTTATGATTTACTTTCGTCCTAGTTATTCTCTTCAATGTTTTAAAAATAATAAACACAGGGAGTCCTCACTTTACAACCACAAAAGGAGCCTGAAATTGCCATCTTGCTAAGTAACTCATTAACTGAGCATTTTACTGGCTAAGTTGCAAAGAAGCTGAAGGGGGCCAAACTCTTTCCAGTTTCCCTCAGAGCATTAAATAGCGTTCGGCCATTCCAATAGAAGCCTATGAAATGTGGATTTACTGGCGGCCTGTTACGTATAAGTTGGGCCGATAAAATCAAAAATGAGGAGACGATAAGCCGCCTGGGAAAGCCAAAGGAAATCATCAAAACCATAAAAAAAAAGCAAAAGTTAGAATATTTCAGACCTGTGATGCGACACCTGGAAAAATAAGGCATCCTTCACTTAATCCTCCACGGGAAGATCGAAGGCAAGTGAGGTCCAGGCAGAAGAAGAAGAGCATCATGCCTTCAAAATCTAAGGGACTGGTTTGGACAAAACTCAGATGCACTTTTTCATGGGGCTGTTGATGAAAATAGGATTGGCAACACGATCGCCAACGTCCAATGACAGTGTTGTGGTTCGCCGGCAGCCTGTGTAGACGGCAGCAGAATTGGACAGTGGGGAAGAATGGGGTCCAGTCCAGGAGTCTGGAGAGGTCTCAGATGAGGGTCCTGCATCCCATGCAGAGATGTGGCCCCATGTGGGAGTGGGGTGCTGACTCCAGAGCCTCCGGAGTCTGGCAACAGCAAGGCAGAGGAAGAAGGGGAGCCTGTTTCCAGTGCGTGTGTGCACAGAGCTGCTAGAAGGCAAGAGCAGCTGAGACAAAAGAGGCAACTCGAGAGTAAGGCTGGGAGGTGATTGCCCCTCCCATAAGGTATAAAGAAAGTGCAAAGGTAGAGAAACCTTTGCAGGAAGCAAAGTCGTTCACTCTGTTCGGATTAAACCTTGAAGCTCTGTGTGGACTTGGTAATTCAGTTGGTTTTTTATAGTTCATTTGGCACTTTAGTTGTTGGCAACAATTCAAAGGAGAGAAAGGTGGGTGCTTATCTCGAGGGGATTGTTTGGGACTCATTACAGGCTGGAAAGCGTTGAAATAAAACAAGAGTTGTTTTAACTAAGTGTGTGCTTAATTCCAGTCTCAGGAAGACTTGGTCAGAACAGACACAAGAAGAAGTCTATTCCAGTATTGCTCATATAATACCAAATATAGATTTGGTCAAGTCAGTGAATCCTCCATAAACATATTTGCTTCTAGTCCTCAATTTTCAACCACAAGTGAACTCAAAATTTCTGTCTGTAATGTCTGTAATTTCTGTCTGTAATTTCTGTCTGACAAGATGGTCATTAAGTGAGTTTTGCCCCATTGTATGATCTTTCTTGCTACAGTTGTTAAGTGAATTGCTGCTGTTGTTATGTCAGCAATGTCGTCGCTAAGTGAACCTGACTGCCCTATTGATTTTGCTGGTCAGAAGGTCCTAAATGGGGACCCCGTGGCCCCCAGGACAATCCTACCACCGTAAGCACCCAGATTCTTATCACATGACCATGGGGAGGGCTACGACAGTCATCACTGTGAAGAATGGCCATGAGCCACTATTTTTTTTTTTTAATGCCGTTGCAACTTCAAAAGGTCACTAAGGGAGCAATTGCAAGTTGAGGACTGCCTGTGATTAAAAACAAGGTAAACAATGCCTTTGGCTCTTCTGCAACGGGCTCTACCTTAGGTGCTTCCATCCATTAGGTACTTACTTTGTCGGAAGTGAGATGGTTGTACCTTTCAAAGCTCTCCGTGCTCCCCAGGCGACCACGCATGCGGCTGGCTCCCTGCAAAACACAAGATACCCACTCGGTGGCACCCATTTCCTGCCTCTGCGATTCCTGTGCTGGCAAGAAGGCCCCCAGGAACCAGTTGGGTCCAGTGGTTAAAACACCAGGCTCGATAGCAGTAGTTATAGTCCCACCTTAGCCAGGGGTGGGATTCAGCTGGTACAGACTGGTTCGGGCGAACCGGTAGTTCCAGCAATGAGTTGGCCCTGCCCCCCCCCCCCCCCCCCGGCCCCTGCGCTAGCCTGTCCTATATTTCCTTTGTTTGAAGCCCAGCTGATAGGCATGGGAGACCGGATTGCTGCGCCTCAGCTGTTTTACTCACTGGAGCTGCAGCGGAAGGTAAAGTTTTAGAGCCGTTTTCAAACGCACCGCTCACCAAACCGGTTGTTACACCGGTTGAATCCCACCACTGACCTTAGCCATGAAAGCTAAGTGGGTGACCTTGAGCCAGTCACTCTCTCTCACCTGAACCTAACCTCACAGAGATGTTGTTGTGGGGAAAGTAGGAGGAGGAAGGCATTTTGGGATAGGTTCGCCACCTTGAGTTATTTGTAAAAAAATAATCCTGTAAGGGCGGGATACAAATAAATAAACAAAAGTCCTCAAAACAACCCCAAATGGAACAGGGATGGCAACTGGCAGTTCTGAAGACCCTTGTAAATGCTGACTTTTTCATAAGTCTGGAGAGTCTCCCTTCTGGGAACAGAAAGCAAAAGCAAACAGCCACACCACCTGGTGTACAGTCTTGTGAAAAAGTACTTTTTCACAGAACTGTAGGCAGGGCCAAATCACGTCCATTGAGTGTAAAACACTTCCATAATGAATAACAAGAGTTGGAAGGGACCTTGGAGGTCTTCTAGTCCAGGGGTCGCCAACATTTTGGACCTCAGGAACCACCAAACTCATAATTTTAAATCCTGCGGACCACTAATATGAATTTTGACTGACGGTGGCTTGCTGACGTTGGTGGGAAAGTCGGTCCCATATTCCAGAGCTGCAGAAGTCACAAGACTGGCCCTTTGGTCATCCCGGAGCTGCCACTCCGGGGGCAGATTTCCCTCCCCCGCCATTGGTCTTACCTTCTAGTTCCAGCTTGCATGGCTCTACTCAAGGTAAGGTTTGTGCTCGGCCAAAGGGTGGAGGCCTGTGTGTGGGTGGCGCAGCCTTGTGTTCCCGTGCAGACTGGATTAATTGCTTTGGGTGGTGCTTTGGGGGGATGTTTCTCTGCAGACCACCAAAATTTTCTCATGGACCACCACTGGTCCCTGGCTGACCAGTTGGCGACTACTGTCCTAGTCCAACCTTCTGTACAAGCAGGAGACCCTATACCAGTGGTGGCTAACCGTTTTGGGCTCCCGTGCCGATAATTGCATGCACGCTGGCCTGCTCGTGCTCGCGTGCCATCACCCAGAAGGCAATGCGTGTGCCCCCCATGCCTCCTGCACATGCGTGTGCTACCCCTGTGCGCCGCATGCTTCTGCGCATGCGCGAGTGTCTCCTGCACACCGCCGCACATGCGGACCAGATACCCGACAATCAGCTGTCGGGCGGACGGCACGCAAGCATGCGCAGTAGACCTTTTCTGGGCGAGTGCTCGCGTGCTGGCAGTAATGGCTCTGTGTGTCACTTCTGGCATGCATGCCATAGGTTTGTCACCACGGCCCTATACCATTCTGGACAAATGGCTGTCCAATCTCTTCTTAAAAGCCTCCACAACTTCTGGAGGCATGTTGTTCCACTGATTAATGGTTCTCACTGCCACGAAATTTCTCCTTAGTTCTATAGTTTGCTTCTCTCCTTGATCAGTTTCCATCCGTTTCTCCTTGTCCTGCCTTCTGTTGTAGGTTTCTGCTAATTCAATACATTACTTCAAAGCTGGGGGTTGTCTTTCTAGCTAAATCAGCAATTAATGCCAAGTGTTTGGAACTTTAATATTTATTCATTACACTTGTTTTCCACTGTTCCTTTAGTGCCCTTAGAGCTTTCTACTCCTATAGAGAGGCAAGGAGAAAAACCAAGTATAATATTTGAAGGAGAAAGGAATCTTGGGGAAAGCCAAATATAATCCATTAAGTAGAAAAGAAGCCAATGTTGTGGTTTGTCAGAGCAGATAGTGCTGTTCAACACTATCCTGAGTTGAGAAGTGCCCCGTTTTTTCCCCACACTCTTTTGAATTCAGAAAAACAGAATATAACAACAGAGTTGGGAGGGAGCTTGGAGGTCATCTAATCCAACCCCCTAGTCAGGCAGGCAATCTATACCATTTCAGACAAATAATTGTCCAATCTCTTCTTTAAAACTTCCAGTGTTTGGTGCATTCACAACTTCTGGCGTTCTACTGATTGATTTTTCTAATTGTCAAGAAGTTTCTCCTTAGTTCTAAGTTGCTTCTCTCCTTGTTTAATTTCCACCCATCGTTTCTTGGCTTGCCTTCTGTTGCTTTCGAGAATAGCCTGACTCCCTCTTCCTTGTGGCAGCCCCTGAGATACTGGAAGACTGCTATCATGTCACCCCTAGTCCTTCTTTTCACTAGATTAGAGATGCCCAATTCCCACAACCGTTCTTTAAAGCTAAATTCTGAATTTACAGAAGTAGAGCCAAATTCCGAAGTTGTGATTTCAGAAACACTGAGCAGTTTGAAAATAGCAGTTTCAAAGGGAACGGAGCAATTCACAATTTCTAGGACATGAGAACTTTGATTTGGGGGGAAAAGGTGCCGTGAAACATTTGATGTGCCATTTGCTTCCTCATCACCCACAGAGGAACTAATCTGACAAGTGAAAACAGTTTAAAAATGACTTTATCCGCCGTTTTACTCCCTCTGAGCAATTTATCTCACCCTGGAGAAGATGTTTTCTAGAGAGCTGGTTAAGGATTTCTTGGCCTTGTTCTTCAGGATATCCAGGGTGAATCTTCCACTGCTAGTGGTGTTTTCTGGGATTGTATTATTAGACGTGTTCTGTACGGTGAAGATAAACCATCGTTATCAATACTGGCAACTGACGGAGATCCAAAATATGCAACTGCCAAACTGATTCCAAGTAGAAAAAAATAATAAACACAGGAAGTGGTCAGGGTTGGGTTTCAAAAAGAGATAAAAGGCTGTTTTGTCCTGCCGTTTTCTCCCTCCATTTCAAATGAAATGGTTTTGTTTTGTTTTTTTGGCTGAGTCACCCGCTTAAATGCAACATCAGGATGACACAAATACAAATTCATTTAGTCATCAACTTTAAGACCAAACTTTGGACTGGAATTTTCATCATTAAGTCCTTGCCGTCAAATCAGTCCCTCGTTCATGACCATTTTTTTTACAATAGTCGCTAAATGTGAACCGTTTCTGCAAAATTGAGTGGGTTTTTTTTTTGGTCAGAAACTGGCAAAATATATCACAAATGGCAATCACGGGACCATACAATTGGTCATAATTGCGAGTTGGTTGCCAAGTGCCTGAATTGTGGTCACCTGATAGTGAATTGTGGCCACTATGAGGTAGTAATATAAGTGCAAGGACCTGGCCTTACAGGTAAATCGTCAGCTTACGGCCATAATTCAGCCCAAAATTTCTGTTACTAAGTGAGACAGTTGTAAAGTGAGTTTGGGTCCATTTTATGACTTGCTGCAGTCGTTGAACCGTGGTGCTTATTAAATGACTAACATGGTTGACAAGGGAATCTGGCTTGCCCATTGAAATGACCTGACAGAAGGCCGCGAAAGGGGAATCATGTGACTCCGGAACACTGCAACCGTCACAAATATGAATCAGTTGCCAAGTGTCCAAATTTTGAGCACGTTACCTCAGGGATGCTGCAATGTAAGTGTGAAATAACGGTCATAAGTCACTTTTTCCAGTGTGGTTGTAACTTTGGACGGTCGCTATACAAAATTGTTGTAAGCCGAGGACTATCTGTGTTCCACACCAGTGTTACTCTGGGTTGCTAAGCAAAATGTTCATAAGTTGAGAACTCCCTGTACTTGATTTAAATCAAATCTGGCTGGGACAGAGGGATAGCAATAGCAATAGCAGTTATATACCGCTTTATAGTGCTTTTACAGCCCTCTCGAAGCAGTTTGCAGAGTCAGCCTATTTCCCCCAATAATTTGGGCTCTCATTTTACCCACCTCGGAAGGATGGAAGGTTGAGTCAACCTTGAGCCGATCAGGATCAAACTCCAGACTGCAGGCAGAGTCAACCTGCAATACCTCATTCTAACCACTGCATCACCAGGGCTCCTAATTCAACATCCAATCAACTACAGCAATAGCAATAGCACTTAGACTTATATACCACTTCACAGTGCTTTACAGCCCCCTCTAAGTGGTTTATAGAGTCAGCCTATTGCCCCCAACAATCTGGGACCTCATTTTACTGACCTTGGAAGGATGGAAGCTGAGTCAACCTTGAGCCTGGTGGGATTTGAACTGCCAAATTGTAGGCAGCTGGCAGGCAGCAGAAGTAGCTTGCAGTACTTCACTCTAACCACTGCACCACAGAGGCTCCTACACTCAAGGAAATCTAGTCCTCCTTCCACCCTTATGGATCCCAGCAGCAAAAATTAACCCAGACAGACACTGCTAGTCTTTCCCCATTGGAATGAGCCATGGTGGCACAGTGATTGGAGCGCAGTACTGCAGGCTACTTCTGCTGCCTGCCGGCTGCCTGCAATTTGGCGGATCGAATCTCACCAGGCTCAAGGTTGACTCAGCCTTCCATCCTTCCGAGGTGGGTAAAATGAGGACCCAGATGGTTGGGGGTAACAGACTGACAATGTAAACTGCTTACAGAGGACTGTAAAAGCCCTGTGAAGCGGTATGTAAGTCTAAGGGCTATTGCTATTCCATCGGGATGCCTTCCCGCATCATCTGTTTCCAGGTAAGAATTGGGAACCGTTAGGAGAATGGAATCGCTGAAGGACCTCCTGGGCCTCTTTGGAAGCTCCCGAGAAGCCGGAGAAGACGGGAAGCTCACCATCGGGGCCTCGTCAATGTGGATGTGGGTCTTTTGCTTCGCCTCGCACAACTGGCGCAAGTGGAAAATCAGCAGCTCATTTTCTTCCTGGTCACTAACCGGTTTCATTTTCTGTCACGGAAGGAAAGAAGCAAATATTTTTGATTAGCCGCCCTGTTCTGACTGCCAGCCAGATTACCTCAGGGTTTCAGAAAGGTTAATACGCTAAGGGAAAGGACCCCTGAAGTGAATTTCTGATTATTTGATTCCCAGGGAGTCAGAGTGTCAGCTCTGGAAGCCGTATTGAGATCCGATGCTCCCACGCTGCTACAATTGAGCCTGGGAAAGTGGGACAGGGGAATTCACTGGAGTATAACTAGTTAGATATAAAAAACATTCTTTTTCTGATTCAAGGTCAGGTAGTGTTGCGCATAAGTGAGAGGAAGTCTTAACTTGGGATGGATGGTGATTGGGTACAGGGGATGGATTTGTAGTTTTTACTTATCGTAAGGAAACCCGGAACTTTCAGATTCGGGATTCCACAGTTGTGCCAATTGCTATCCAAATGAAAAGGAACTTTTGAGAGACGTCTGTCTCAGACTTATTGGGTGGGATGGAGGTTTGGTGGAACGCTGACGCAGAGATCATCTGAGTGGGGAGGGGGATCCCTTATTACCTGAACACGCTCGAAGATGTCCGCCTGCTCGTTGTCGCTGAGAGAAGACAGGTGCCTCTGAATGACAAGCTTGGCTCTTGGTGGATAAAGTCCTTCAGAGGGAAAGAAGAGAGGTCGTTGGGCTTCAAGAGAGGTTTTACTCACTGTAAAGCCCTCACGGGCTCTTCTCTGCAGTCAGAAAGACAAGATTCAGCTAAAGTGTGACCACTGAAATCCACGCAACCTCTACCAAACCTCCAACGCCTTGCCTTGCCCACCAATGCCCTTGCCTCCCAGATGCCCACCAGCCCTTTGAGCCAGGAGACCTTCGTCTCCCCACTTGGCCATTTGTTCTGACCCGGGTCCCAAACACGACTGTTCTGACCTAGGCTTCCCCCCAAAAGCACTAAGCAGGCTTTTCGTCCTGGCAAAACCCCTCTTATTAAATGAAGGTGTACTTATTGCATTCACATTCAGCCAAAGGCCTGGCAAACCAGTCTTTCAAAGGTGTAATTAGGAGCACAGACCTTATCTAGCTTGGAGAGCTGCCAAGTAAATATTTCCAAACGCAGTGCTGGCAAGGAAGGACTCAGCACAGAGTCTCTGAGACAGATCTTCATACTGCTGCAATGAACTAACAAATTAATTGTTTCCTGCAAAAACCCCTCTCCTTTTGCTCCTCTTTTAATCCCTGTGGGAGGGGCCATTCACCGTCCACCTGTGGCTTTACTCCCACGTCGACCCTTAGTTCGTAATTGTTCTTTTCTTTTGGCAGCTCTGCGTATGCGCATGCGTAAGCTTGGAACCGGCTCCAGCTGCTCCCCCGCCTTACTGCTATCTGACTCCAAAGGCAACTGATAACTGCCAGCCTGCCCTGGCCCCATCTCTGCCTCTGACGCAGAGCCCTCATCCGAGCTTTCCTCAGCCTCCAGGACTGGCCCATGCTCCTCCCCAACCTCCTCATGGTCCGACTCTGCTGCCAGCTCTGCTAGCCGCCGGAGGGCCACAACAATGACAAACCCTCTGTAGTTAAACAAATGTTCCTTTTATTAGGAGTGCCAGCAGCCCCGGCAAAAAAAAAGGCTCTTTCTCTCACACAGCAGGCTAACAAGTCGGTTCAGCAGGGAGATAAATAGTTGTCTGCCACACCTATTCATCTCCGTCTCTTGCCTTTTATCCCCAGACCTAAGTTGGAGCTTCGCTAGCAGCGGTGGCTCTTCCATCCCAAGGATCGGCCCCTAGATTTTCACTGCTCTCCTTTCCTCTGCCTCCTATGCATCTACGTGTCAGGCACTGTACCCAGGTGTTCCTCCTCTTCCTCATCAGCCACCTCCAGACCTGAAGGCTGTTGACTCTCCATCTGTAGGCTGACGGACGGCCAAGGCTTGCCTCTGTCTCTATCTCTGACAGCTCCACTCCCTCTTCACCACTGGAGCTCTCAGGTTGCCTTGGGGCTGGCCCTGACTCCGTGCCTGCTTCAGCTGCTGGAAGGGCCGGAGGCTGACAGGCCACCCCGCCATTCAAGGCCTCTGACCAGAGCTCTACGTCCCTCTTCCTCGATGGCTTGGTGGGAGCTCAACCCAACCCTCTCCCCTTCCTCGCTAGGTTGATTTGGCTACCAACAAAAGGTCCCCAGAGGTGGGTGGGCATTGCCCTAAATAGCATGGCACCTTCACTCCCAAAGAAGGAATTGAGGAGACGGTGATTGGGAACAACATGCAGAGATATCTCCGCAGTATTGACCATCAACTCTGGAATGGAAGGGCCTCTGCTGGCAGAAACCATCCAGACGAGCCTGATCAGGTCCTGGAACAGGTTTTAAGAAGATCTCCCACCCCACATGCATCCCTTGTTTATCTTTAAAGTCATCGTTTTTATAAATCCAATCAGACAAGAGAGGAGGAAAGAATATGGTTTTTTTTAATCGAGCTATTTCCATCTAAGAATATAACTGGACACCCAAAGAGCCCGAAGCCACAAGCTAAAGTTGCTTGTTTTACAGACCTCATCTTGGCCAAGGTGAACTCTGAGTTTGGCTTATACTGAAGTATCTTAATTATTTGGGGCATACTTCAAAAATCTGGGAGAGAAGACCTAGCGTTTCTATGCTCAGAGCCCCGCCCAGAAGCAGATATTCTTATTTCAGTCCTTAGTTCAGAATACAAAGTTCTTTGCAACGTTTGCATACAGGTGAACGCACCTGTCATCACTACCGCTCTTTGACAGAGGAGCCTTTGTCCAAGTAGATCTTATGTGAAATGACACAGTACTTTAAAATATCA